GGGGTGGAGGAAGGCAAGGCGGCCGTGCTAACCGTGTCTCCCCGCTGCCGCCTCCGGGCCCTCTGGCCCTCACGTACCATTTGTATGATGGCGTCGGCCTCGGCCTCCAGCTGCCGGACGGCGGCCTGGATGCTGCCGGCCGCCCCCAGGCCCCCGGCGCCTGCGGGGCACAGCGGGGTCAGGGCGGGCGGCGCGCAGGGGGCGCGGGGAAGGGGCCGGGGGGGGTCCCTTACCCAGCCGGCCGGGGGGCTTGGCCTTACGGTGCGCCCGGCGCGTGTCGTCCCGCAGCTGGATGATGACCTGCAGCACCCGCAGGAAGAAGCGCTGCGTGGACGTCTTGGAGGTGAGCACGGACATGGAGGGCAGCTGCAGCTCCCGCCCGCCCAGGGCGCGCTTCTGCGACGCCACGATCACCACGCTCTCCGCCGTGTCGAACCTGGGAGGCACGGGGGGTTAGGGGGAACAGCAGGGACCGGAGCAATCAGCAGGTACAGGAGCTGCCAGCAGGGCCCGCAGTGAACGGGAGTTACGGAGTTTTCCCAGAGCACCCAGAGCGAGTGGTGGGTGCAGGACCACCAGAAGGGCCCAGAGGACACCAGGCACTCACCGGCTCTGCATCTTGCCCTTGAGTTTGGCGCTGGGCGGCTGCTCCTCGGGGAGCCCCTCAGGGGAGGGAGCCTCAAGCTGCGCTCGGCGCTGCTGCTCCAGGTTGTACTCACGGAGCTCGGCCAGCAGAGTCCCTGGGGGACACAGGGAGGAGTGTCATGGGCTGGGACCTGCCCTGGGACCCCTCCTCACAAACCAGTGGGGGACAGGATCCCACCAGAACACCCTCCACTGACCTGGGGAGAGGAACCACTGCCCCTCAGGACACCCCTTACTGACCTGGGGGTACAGCATCTCCCCCTAGACTCCCTCTCATTGATCTAGCGGCCCATGGCCCCCCCTCACCAATCTGGCAGCCCATGGCACCCCCAGGCCCCCCCTCACCGATCTGGCGGCACAGGGACCCCCCCAGCTGCCGGGCCCCGCTGAGCAGCAGCCGCAGGACGGTGTCCCGGGTCCCCGCGTCCCCCCGCGACAGCTGCAGCAGCACGTTGGCCGCATCCTCCAGCCCCTCCTCTGAGCATGAGTGGGACGTCAGCACCTGGGGACAGAGCATAGACATGTTGGAGACGCCTGGGGACACCAAGGACCATCCCCCTCCCCGATCCTGGCCCTCCATTACCTCCACGGAGAGCTGGAGCTGGGCCTCAGTCAGGCCCGTGGCCGCCAGCCGGGGCTCGGAACCCCCCTCAGGGACCTTGGCCGGGGACTTGGAGCTCTTGGCTGGGGCTGGGGACAGAGGGGACACAGGATTGGGGGGGTGGCAGGGGATGGGAGATGCCACCAAGGCCTTTAGCAAATGGTGTCACTCTCTCAGGGTGGGCCCAGCCCTTCCCTGTGCTCTCAACCACCTGATGCCACCTCTGTCCCCACCTGTGTCCCCACTCCTGTCCTCATCCATAACCCCATCCCTGTTTCCACCCTTCCATGTCCCCGTCCCTGTATCCTTGTCCCTACAACCCCATCCCTATTTTCCCACCTCCATGTCCCCATTCCTGTCTCTGTGTCCCCATCCATGTCCCCAACGGCATCCCTGTCCCCATATCCATGTCCCTTGTCCCTATATCCGTGTCCCCATGTCTCCATACCCGCCCTCTTGCCCCTTTGTCTCCATTCCCGTATCCATGTCCCCCTTGCCACATCTCCATCCTCACCCCCATCCCCATCACTGTCCCCATCCCTGTGCCCCCCCACACTCACCTCCAGTGCCTCCAGCCCCCGCTGTGGCCGTGCCGCTGCCGTTACCCCCCTGTGCCGGGGGGCTCCCGGGTGCCGTTGCCCCCCCCGAAGCCGCCGCAGCCGCCCCTGCAGGCGTGGCGGGGGCAGAGGGTGCAGAGGCTCCGTTCTGGGGCGTGGCCCCCCCCTCGGCAGCCTTGCCCCCCTCGGGGAGGGCGATGGAGATGAGGGACAGGAGGCGCAGCAGCTTCTCAGTGAGGAGGGGGCTGCGCCGGATCACGCCGTGGGACAACATGTTCATCAGCTGCCCCAGGGGCGACGCCTCCAGGCCCCCCCCGGCGGCCTCGGGCTCAGGGCCCCCCCCGCCGCCCCCTGCCCGCGCAGAACCCTTCCCCTTCCGGCTCACGTTCATGTTGTCCAGCTTCACCAGCAGGTCCCAAAAATCGGTGGAGAGGCTGCCGGAGGGTGGGGGAGGGGCGGGGGAGGGTGCGCCGGAAGGGGGGGGAGGGGGTGGGGGAGCCGGCGGGGTCTGGGGAGGTGGAGGGGGGCAAGGGCTGCCCCCTGATTTGGGGGGGCCGCGGTCGCGTTCCGGGTCGGTTGTCGCTGGGTCTCGGCCTCGCTGTTGGGTGAAGTGGCTGGGGAAGACCTGGGGGATGGGGACGTGTTATTGGGGTGCTGATGACCCCCCAGATATCACCAACATCCCCCCTAGTCACACCCTGCCTCCCTAGGAGGCCTCAGCCACCCACAGGCCCCACACAGGTTTTGGGGACAGCCCCTCAGGTGATGTCCCCTGTGCCACTGTGACCCTCAATTTGGGGGGGTTCCCCAGTTGTGCCCCTCACAGCACTCACAGATACGGGGGGCTTCCAGCTCCCCTCTGAGGTGTCCCAGAGCCCCTCCAGCTTCCTCCAGCACACCCCAAAGCCCTCTCAGTCCCACTGAGGAGACCCCAACCCCCCCCTAAAATGTCCTGGCACCACCCAAACGTCCCAGTGCTCCCCAGAATCACCAGTGAACCCCCAGAAACCCACTGACGTGATCCAGTGTTCCGAATTTCCCCCCCAAGTCCCAAAGGAGGAGCCCTAAACCACCTCCTTACGTGTCTCAGTAACCCCCACAACTTGCCCCAAATGCACCCCAAAATCCCCCATGGCCCTCCCAGTTCCACTGAGGAGCCCCAAATCACACCCCAACATGCTCCAGGTGTCCCCCGCAGCCCCCCTCACCTTGGCCAGCTGGATGAGGGTGTCGAGGACGTGCCGGCACACGACTGGGGCAGCCTGGGGGTGGATGTGGACGGCAGAGCCGGCGGCCGCCGCGTGTTTTTCCGTGTGCTTGCGGCCCGGCACCCTCTGGATCTGGAAGATGTTGGTGCGGCAGCCCAGGGCCGCGTCCATGGACACGGAGAGCCAGGAGAGCTGCCCGGAGCTGCGTGACTCCACGCGGTGCAGCAGGTCCAGCCCGCGGGGCTCCGCGGCCGAGCCGGGGGTCCCGCGGGCGCCGCGGCTGCGCGGCCGCTCCTCCGTGCCGGGGCCCGGCCCGGGGGGCGCGCGGGGGGTCTCGAGGCACAGCTCGCTCTCGCTGCTGCGCTGCAGGATGGACAGCAGGCTGCGGACCACCCAGCCCCGCGTGGGCGCGTGGTAGCACAGGTTGCGCAGCACCCGGTGCAGGCGGCTCGTGTTCAGCTTGGGTTCGTCCACGAAGAGCAGCACCAGGAGGCACGACAGGGCCTCGTGGTCCAGGAGCAGCCGCCCGCGCAGCCGGAGCAGGCTGTCCACGCTGCTGCCCGCCGGCCTGGGGGGCATGAGGTTAACACGTTGGAATGGCCCCCAAACCCACCCCTAAACTGACCCCAAACTGTCCTGTCCCCACCACTGCCCGCCGGCCTGGGGGGCATGAGGTTAACATCCTGGAATGACCCCCGAACCCACCCCCAACTGCCCTGTCCACACCGCTGCCTGCCGGCCTGGGGGGTATGAGGTTCACACCCCAAAGCAGCACCCAAATCCACCCCCAAACTGCCCTGTTCATGCTGCTGCCCACTGGTCTGTGGGGATGGAGGTTAATGCCCCAAAACTGACCCCAAACTGCCCTGTCCATGCTGCTGCCCACCAGCCTGGGGGGGTTACAATCCAGAAAGACCCCCAACCCGACCCCAAACAGACCCACAAACCATCCCACAGACATTCCCCAAAGCAACACCCAAGGAGCCCCGAGCCCTGTGCGCTCACCTGCTGTGGGTGCCGGTGCCCCCCATGTGGAAGGTGCCCCCACGCTGCACCGCGAGCCGCGTGTACTGAACCCCCCGGTTCCCGCTGAGCCGGCTCGTGAACGCTGAGGGGACAAGGGGCACGTGTCACACGCCGGGGACAGGGGATGTGGGACAGGGCACATATCACACACCGGGACACAGGATAGCACATGTGTCATATACCGGGGACGTGTTACACACCGGGGACAGCAGATGTATCACACACCGGAGACACGTCACACGTGGAGGAGACTCCACACAAGTTGGGGGGAAAAGGGATGGGGAGAGAAAAAAAGGTGGAAAATGTGAGGAAGAAAAAGGTGGGAAATGTGAGGGGAAAAAAGGCGGGAAATGTGAGGGGAAGAAAGGCGGGAAACGTGAGGGGGAAAAAGGAGGGAAACATGAGGGGAAAAGGCAGGAAATGCAAGGGGAAAAAGGCGGGAAATGCAAGGGGAAAAAGTCGGGAAACACGAGGGGGAAAAAGGTGGGAAAAGTGAGGGGAAAAGGTGGGAAAAGGGAGAGCAAAAATGGCAGAAAAAGGGAGTAATAAAAAGGATAGGAAACGTGGGGACAAAAGGACAGGAAAAGGAAGGATGTGAGGAGAGGGGAGGCAGTGGGGCAGACACGGGGGGGGACTTGTGAGACCACAATGGGGTAGGAGCAGACGGGGGGAATGACAGGTGGGATGGGGGGAACTGGGGGCAGAGAGACTTGGCAGGGGGCAAAGAGGACTGGGGTGGGTGCAGAAGGAATGGGAGGCAGAAGGAATTGGGGGCAGAGGGACCAGGGAGGGTAAAGAGAATATGAGGGGCAGGGAATGGAGGGGGCAGAGGGAGCTGGTGAAGTCAGCAAGAACTGAGGGGGAGAGGGAATTGGGGGCTGAGGGAATGGGGAGACAGAGGAAACTGAAGGGACACAGAAGGAACTGAGGGGATGCAGAGGAAATGGGGGCCAGAGAGAATTGGGGTGGGGTACAGCGAGTCAGCGGGGATGCAGAGGGAACTGGGGGGCACACAGGAGGTCGCGGGGTCCCCTCACCGGGACTGCGCAGGATGGCCGAGAGCGCTGAGGTGCTGGAGTGGCCGAAGAGCCGCTCGTGCATGAGCTGCCGCTGCCGCGCCTCCTGCTCGCGCCGCAAGGCCTGCGCCTCGGCCGCGATGTCCGGTGGCATCACCGCCAGCACCGAGTCCTCCATGTCCTCCAGCACCGAGCGCCGCAGCTCCGACGGCAGCGTCTGGATGAACGTCACCGGGTCCATCGGCGCGTCCGAGCCCGTGGCCTGCGCCAGCTCCCGCCGCTGCTGCTCCGCTCGCTGTTGCGCCAGCACCTGAGGGGAGAGGAGAGGGTGGGACATGCCCGGGGGACACACCCACGTGGGGAGACTCACCCTTGGGGGGGATACAGCCATGGGGGGCACACACTCCAGAGAGACCACACCCCTTTTTGGACAAGTCTCACCCCCCACAAACACACCCCCACCCCACATGGGAATCCCCCCCCTGGAATACCAACCATAGAGGTCCCACTCCCAAAAGATCCCATCCACATTTAGCTCCACCCCCACATAAAAGCCCCACCCCAACACCTGCCACACCTCTGTGACCCCACTCTCCAGTCAAGTTCCACCTCAGGTAAGGCCATGCCCCTTTAGCCCCACCCCTGACCACAGCCTCCTTTACCTCCACCCCTCAGACCACACCCACTCGACCACCCCCACCCACCAGCCACACCCCTCCTTTAGCCCCACCCAGTGACCACACCCTCCTTTAGCCCCACCCAGTGACCACACCCTCCTTTAGCCCCACCCACCTCCTCCTGGATGGCCGGTGGCAGCGCCGCCAGGAACTCGGGGCTGACCTCAGTCAGGCCAGGATTGGCCACCACGGGTGGGGCGGGGCTGGCGCTGGGTGGGGCCCGGGCAGGGGGGCGGATCCCCAGCTGGTTCTGCAGCACCTCCCGCCGGATGTCATCGGGAAGGGCCGCCAGGAATGAGGGGTCCACGCCCTCCGGCAGGCTGATCCCTGCGGGGACACACACACATGTTGGGACCACCCAGGGACACGCCCCAAACCGCCAGGAACGAGGGGTCCACACCCTCCAGGAGGCTGAACCCTGGGGAGGGGAGGGGGGGGAAACATACTAGGGACATCTTCGGGGTCCACCCAGGGACACTGGTCAGGAGGGTGACAAAGAGGGAACAGGGATACCAGGCGGGATGAGGGGAGAACAGGGAAGGTTGGTAGGGTGGGGTGGTCAGGGGGGTGCCACTGACCAGCCAGGAGATGACGGGGGGGTACAGGGAGGAACAGGACTGTGATGGGGGGTGGGACAGGATGGGGACAGGTGGGCACAAGGGGTGTCAGGGGGTCCCACTGACCGGCCAGTGGATCCTCCTCCTCACTGCTGGTGGATGGCAGTGGCTCCTCCAGGATCCCCCGCGAGTCAGCCCCCGAAATGGCCCCGGCAGAGTCCCGGGTGGACGAGCTCTCCGAGGACGAGGCAGGAGGGGAACTGAGGGGGATCACAGAGAGGGGATGATGTCAGTGGTGGGGAGGGGGGCACCCCCAAAACCCTGACCTCTCCCATTTCCCACTGACAGGGAGGGCTCTTACCTATCGTCGGGTGGCTGAGCGGTGTCGGGGGGGGCGGGTGGGGGTCCCTGGGGAGTCCCAGGTGGGTTTTGGGGGGCTGTGGGAGGAGGGGGAGCCCCCCCTGACTCTTCCAAGGTGCAGGAGGCCAAGCTTGAGGTGTCCATGGGGGACCCCTCCAGTTGGCTGCTCACAGCCGTCAGTGCGTCCGAGTCCTCGGCCCTCTCCGGGGACAGCGACGCTGGGAGGGGGGAACACACGGACATGGAGGTTCAGGGAGACACCCTCAAACCCAGGGAGACCTCATCAGGCTGAGAAAACCCCTAAAAATGACAGGATCCCCCCAAAAATCCCAAGCGCTTACTGATGGTGGGGGCAGGCGACAGCTCCATCTGAGTGGCCTCGGCGTCTTGCGGGGGTCGTCCTGGTCCCCCCTCCTCGTGCTCGGGGGGTTGTGGGGGGCGAGCGGGAATTTGGGGGGCTCCTGGGGGGGGATCTGGGGGGGTCGGCGTCGGTTCCAGCATCACCAGGGTCCGGTGGGGACCGGGAGGGGGGGTCTCTCCCGTCGTCCCGCTGTGTTCTGGGATGGGGGGATGGGGGAGGATACACGCAGGGATCAACTTTGGGGGGGGACCACGAATGAGGGAGCCCCCCCAAACCCACACCCTTTGCCCATTTTGGGGGAATCCCAGGCATTTGGTTGCACCCTAAGACAAAGGGGAGGTACCAGGGAATTTGGGGGGTCCTTGCCACACCCCCATAATTACAACCCCCTTGAGCCACACCACACCCCCCAAATGCCTTAACCCTCCCCCAGAACCTCTTAAACCCCTCAAGAACCCCCTTAAACCCCTCCTAAAACATTCCATTCCCCTAAACCCCCTCAACCA